TTTTTTTTTTTTTGGTACCGGGGATCGAACTCGGGTCCTTGCACTTTTGCAGCAGGCAGCGAAACCACTGAGCTAAATCCCTGGCCCTTATACTGACTTATTCTTGTCATATTATTTTCCTGTTGTTGGTTCCGTTTCTTTCCCTTCTCAAAAGCTTTTAGCTTTCATCCCTAATTTTATTAGGGATGCTCATTGTTTTTATTAGGGATGCTAATTGTTGCCTGTTTGGCCTAGCACCTAGTTCTTTGGTAATGGACTATATTATAATTTATGACTCCCAGACATGCATGCATTGGGATACAAGACTAGCAATTGATCATGACAAGGATGTCACCTTAGCTAAAGTAGTAGAATTTGTAATAAAAATAGCATCAAACACAGACTAGAAAATGACAAACCGTGATAACTATTAACTTGCCAACTTTAACCATAGGTACAAAATTTTTAGTTATATAACAAGATCTAAGACAAATCAGAAAATTATAACAGTAAATATCCAGTCAATAGAGTGATTTGGCCCTAAGGGGAGAAAAAATTTAAAATAGATAAGAGGAAAAAAATAGAAAAATATTATCTTTTTTAGGTTTTTTTTTCCCCCCAGTACTGAGGATTGAACTCATGACCTTGCACTTACCTGGCAGATGTGGTGCCATTGAGCTACTTCCCAGCCCAAAAAATAAAAAAAAGAAGAGAAAGAAATTAGAAACAAGGCTGAAGGACAAAGGACGATTTCTCAAGACTTGGGAAACTGGTGAAGAAGACAGGAGGGAAAGAAACAAGGAAGAAACAAAAACAAAAAAACCTAAAAATAGTGTTCACACAAGAAAAAACAAAAGAAAATGAACAACAACAAAATACAAAAGCAAAGAAAAAAATTTTCTCTGTAATTTCAAGCCTGTGGTTATCTTGTGAGGTCCAGTTTTGTAATTGTGTCCAGTTCTGGCTGTAACTCTGTTCTTGTTGGTAGACAAGGGAGGCAGTCAGAGCCCAGATCCCTGCTAGATAATCCCAGGAAGCCTGCAGTAGGATTAGGGGATAATCCTAGCAAGCTTGGAGTAGGATTAGGGCAGTGTGCTGGTTCTGGCACTTTCAAATCCACAAAAGTTCAGGTCAGCCTGATTTCTGGTTGTGAGATTGGGCCCTGAGTGATTCAGTCTGTAACACTTTGGGTGTCTCTTGCTTGCCTGATCACGGCTTCCTGACCCTGGACATCTGCCCTTGTGTCACCCAATCACTGTGGGGTTTCAACACTAGGACCCCGAGATGACAACCCATGGTTGCTCTGAGTTCCAGGTTCAGTTGGCTCCTCCCTAAAATGATGTTGACCCAGCACTGTCTCCAGGGGACACTGAAGTTGCTTGGACTAGAGTTACCAGCTGTTGTAGCACCCAGCATCCACTGCTCTGTTCCACTGGTGGATTTCTCCCTGGAGGCCTCTGGAGTCACCTGCCCTCACTGTATCTCTGAAGATTCCATCCTTCTCTCTCAGGCCACAAGCCAGGAGCCAAGGAGAAAGTACAGATTGCCCCCTCCTTTTGCTGCGTTGAGCTGTCTGGAGAAAGTACAGATTGCCCCCTCCTTTTGCTGCGTTGAGCTGTCTCTTCACACTCTATGTGGGCTCTGATTTTCCTTCAGATCTTTCCTGGGTCCTGGGGACCCACCTCCCTCTTTTCTTCCACAGGTTGTTATTTTCCAGTACCTAGATCCTGAATCTTGGAGAGGTTGATTTGTTGCTATTTACTGCTCCACCATTTTCCAACAAAATACTTTAATCTATCTTGGATTGATATTTTTGTATCGTAGAAGTCTAATTTCATTTTTCTGCCTGTGGATATTGCATTCTCAGTATTACTTGCTAGAGAAACTCTCTTTTCCTCATTGTGTGCTACTGGCATCTTTATTGAAAATCAGTTGTAAATCCATAGATTTCTTTTTGGCTCTGTATTCTATTCCATTGGCCTGTGTGTTTTCTGTCAGTACTGTGCTGTTTTTACTACTATAATCTCACTTCAGAACATTACTAAGTCAGTTTTTATTTATTTTTGAAGTATTGGGAATGGAACCCATTGACTTGGGCTTCCTAGACAAGGCCTCCACTACTGTACTACATCCCTAGCCCATATTTAACCCTCCCCCTTTTTTCTTCCTCCAATACTAGTAATAGAATGTGGAGCATTTGCACTGAGCTACTACTTCTGCAGCTTTTTTTATTTATATTTTGACACAGGGTCTTGCTAAGTCACTAGGGCTGGCTTTGAACTTATGACTAGCCTCCCAGAGTGTCTGGATTATAGGCATGTGTGCCCAGCTTTAAATTCCTTTTTAATTGGACTTCTTTACTTGTTAGAGAAGTGCATTATTTTTCAAAATAAAAAAGTTAATGGAGAAATTAAGATACATTTTATTGGGGCCAGGGATTTAGCTCAGCGGTTCTGCCGCCAAAGCACAAGGACCAGAGTTCGATCCCTGGTACCAAAAAAAAAAAAAAGATACATTTTATTTATTTGAGTAATACTTTTGTTAACATTACTTACATACTTTTAGTCATTGAGTAAATTAGTAAACTGGCTCAGAACCCACAAAATCATCTTAATCAATTTGTTCTTTTTTTCAGCGTTGTAAGATGAATGAAGATACGGGCACTGATTATATAGCACCTTGGCAGCTGTCTCAGGTGGCTGATGGTGGAGGTATTGGAGTTATAGAGGAAAGCAAGCATGCAAATTTGACTAAAGGCAATTTTGTGACTTCTTTCTATTGGCCTTGGCAAACCATGGTTATTCTGGATGGAAATAGCCTTGAAAAGGTGATGTTTTCTCCCCCTCTATAATTCTTATTTTCCACATTTGATATTTACTTTTGTTTGTTATCAGGGAAAAAAGTAAAAGCATACATTTTCTTTCAGCTAGCTGCCAAAATGTAGAGAGTCTTTGTTGCTTTTCCACTGTTGGCTATGACTATATGGGACAATTTGTAGATTACCAAAGAATGTTGTCATTTTCCATTTTTTGTTCTTCAAATAATATGTATAATATTTTATATTTTATATAGGGCCGGGGATTTAGCTCAGTGGTTCCACCGCCTGCCTCACAAGCGGAAGGACCCAAGTTCGATCCCGGTACCCAAAAAAATTTTATACTAAGTACTAGAATTTCCCTTAATACCCAGGCATAGTGGCACATACCTGTAATCTCAGCACTCCCAGAGGCTGAGCCAGGAAAATCACAAGTTCTAGTCCACCTCTGTCAATTTAGCGGAACCCTCTTTCAAAAAATACAGAAATAAAAATTTAAAAATGTCTGGGGATATAGCTGAGTACAGAGGTCCTGCTTTAATCCACAGTATCACCAAAAAGCAAAAAAAGTCTCTGGGCCAGAGACTTAGCTCAGTGGTGCTGTGCGTGCCTGGGAAATGCAAGATCCTGAGTTTGATCCCCGGTTCTGAAAAAAAAAAAGAAAAGAAAAAAAGTCTCCCTATAATTATATACATTAAATTTTCCTGAGAAATAGCCACCTAAGAAATTAATTTGCGGGCCAGGGATTTAGCTTAGTGGTGCTGCCACCTGCCTCGCAAGTGCAAGGTCCTAAGTTTGATCCCCGGTAACAAAAAAAAAGAAAGAAATTAATTTGCTTTATGACTGAAATCCCATCTCATGTTAGAAATCCAGAGTTCACTTCAGCTCTTAGGTAGAACTATGTGAAATTGCCAGTATTTTCTTTGACCTAAAAAAAATAGCAGCTTCATTTAATTCTGCTTAATTGATATGTTATCATGGAAATTACTCTATGTCTCTATACTTCAGTTTCCTCTGGTGCAAAATGAAAATAATAGTTAACCTCATAAGCAGATGTAAAAATTAAATGCTATTAAATGTGACTACTTCACAAAAAGCTTTGTATAATTTTAATATTTTTATTATTAAAACTTCTTAACCAGTTTCAAAAAGTTGCTAATACCAAAATGGAATCACTGATGTCAAACTCTAACAAAATGGAGCTGGGAGGCCATGAAGGAAGAGCCCTAATCAACATATGCCTATGACAAGAGCTGGTACAAGCACTCTGAAAACCACAGCCTTGCACAAAATCCACTACAGCCTTGCATAAATATTACTTCTACAGAACAGATGCCTATTCATCAACTTATTCCACTAGTGGACTGATGCCAGCCACTTTTAGTAATCCTGTAATGGGGAATAATTGTTTCAAAACAACTAATGCAACTTTTCTCATTTTGCCTTTAAAAATACTGGCATTCCTTTGCCTCTCTGGATATGCCTACAGTTTGTCATGTCTTGCATATCTTAGCATGTTACTGCATAAATTATTTCTGGACAGCCATTCTGTCACTCAGGTTACGTTAAAAAGTGGCTAAGATACAAATGTTAAGTGGGAGATGTTACACAATTATTTGTCAACTTAATGTTTCTAACAAAATAGATTTAACTTCTTATTAGGAGGTAAAAAAGAAATATATTCAGCACTCATGTTCTGCCTGTAGATTTTCTTATGCCATAGTAAGTGCAGGTGGCTTTTGTTTCCAATTTCTGACTCAAAGCTCTTAAAAACCTTGGAATTTCCTGCATGATAGGAATTTCCTGTGTGATGACAAGCCCCTTTCCATCATATCTGAGTTTATGTTGATGAGGTAACAAACAGTGTGGAGCACCTAGACAGACTCAAGATAGGTTGGTCAACAGAAACACCAACTGAATAGAAGGGGGTAGGAGAGAAAGTTGTATAACAACTCTTAAAGAATGAGATTTGATTAATTTCTGAGTCATTGAACACATTCAGGTGCCAGGAAGGTGGTGTATCCAACTTCACAAGGACAGAAGCTCCTGTTCTTGGGACCCTTCTGGACCTCACCCTGTGTATCTCTTCACTTGGCTTTTCATTTATATCATTTTACATATTTTTATAATGAACCAGGAAACATAATGTAAAGTGTTTCCCTGAGTTCTGTGAGTCATTCTAGCAAAGTACCAGACTTGAGAAAGGAATGGGAATCTCTGATTTATAGCCAGTGAATCAGAAGTATAGGAGGCCATGGGCTGGGGATTTAGCTCAGTGGTTCTGCTGCCTGCCTCGAAAGCGCAAGGGCCCGAGTTCGATCTCCAGTACCAAAACAACAACAACAACCCTAACAACAACAACAACAACAACAACAAGTATAGGAGGCCTAGACTCACAAGTGGCATCTGAAGTGGGAGTAGGCTCATGGCATTGAAACTGTAAATTCTGGGATCTTGAGACACCAAGGTTAGGCAGGCCTTTGAAGTAGCCTCCTGGTAGAAAGCAAATAGGCAGCTGCACTTTTGGTGATAGGAGGAAAGCAAATGGTTAATCAAATCACTTAAAGTGCTACTGCACTTGCTGAGATAAGGAAGCAGGATGCTTAGGCGAACTGGATGAGACCTCCATAAAAGTAAAGGGTCTCCTTTGTTTACTGCTCCTCCACCTATACAATAGCCTGCCCTGCTGCCCTTTCCTGGGCTGTTCTGTGGAGTATCCAGCTTTGATGTTCTATCCTGAGCTACTGTGCCTACACAGGGTAATCAGCTGTGGTTCTTTCCTTTTACTTTTGCTGTAGAACTATTCCATGTCTGATTTAAACCTTACATGAGACAAGGACCCAGTGTGATGGCAGCAATCTGACATTAATCTGAACTGAATTGAATTCTAGGATGCCTAGTTAATGAGAACTCAGTACTGTGGAAAAAAAAAAAAAACACACCTATAATGTTAAGAGTTCCATGTGAGAGGGCCAGGATTTAGCTCAGTGGTTCCGTCGCCTGCCTTGCAAGTGGAAGGACCTGAGCTCAATCCCTGGTACCACAAAAAAAAAAAAAAAAGAGTTCCATGTGAGAGTGTGGAGAAACTCTTACAGTGCTATAGTGAGAAACTGAGCAGTTAAGACAACTTGAACATGGTTTGGGAATAGGTACTGGAAGTAAGAGGTATTCAGAAGGGATAGGAAAATGGTATTTGCACAATTCAAACTTACCTCACAGTGAGATTAGAGATTGACTTTACTAATAAGCAACTATTACAATACATGAAATATTTGTGTATTACAGACTTTCTTGTTTATTATACACCTTTATGTCTTTTTTACCTTTATGAGATTTAACTGATTGCCATTTAGAACTACTGAATACAAACTGCCATATTATTTCTTTGTGGTAACTCAACTACAATTAAACTAAGGATGTACATCTTGATTACTTTTGGAGGTTTGTTAAACTTTTCCAAAATTAACTCCTTAAAAATTATTTGAAAACCTGTATGGTAGGGAGTGTTTAGAGAATAAAATTGAAAATATATAAAATATATATATATATTTTTCAATTCTGACTTTACAGGTAAGAAAACACATACAGAAAAAGAACAATATAATTATTGACAGGACCTAGCAAACATATAAATACAAAATGCCAAATTGAAAGAGACCTTAATTCTGTAATTAAATTAAAAGATATTTTATTACATGATCCTTACTATTTTTTTTTTTTTTTTGCATGCTGGGGACTGACTCAGGGTTTTGTAGATAGATGCACTGTACACCCCTGCCTGTTCCTTAGATTTTTAGCATCAAGGATGAAAATGATTGGAGTTTGAATTTTTTTGGTTTTGGTATATATAATATATAGATTTAATAAATTTTATTTTATTTTATCTTATTTTTCCCTCTCAAGTCCCCTCCGCTATGTACAAAAGATTTGTTTCCATTTTTTCCTTTGGTTTCACTTTTTTTCTTGTCCCTTCCTTCCTTTTTCCCTCGTTCCTCCTTTGTTCCCCCTCCCATTTGAATACTTTCTTCCCATTTTCCAACATCCATTATGCATCTTAGTCCTTATTTCCACATTCAGTTTCTCATACCAGAGAAACAATGTGGTATTTAAACATGTGTGTCTGATTTGTTTCATTTAAGAGTATGGTCTCAAGGTCCATCCATTTAGCTACAGATGCCTGAAACTCATCCTTCTTTATGACAGAGTAGTACTCCATTGTATAAAAAATTGGTATATATATTTTTTAAGATAGGGTCTCCTATGTTGCCTAGACTGGTCTTAAACTCGTAGGCTCAAGCATTTTTCCTGCCTCATCTTCCCAAGTACCTGGAAATACAAGGATGTACCATGACATTTGGCCTTGAGTTGATTTTTATATATAAATATTTACTTTCCAATTGCTCAGTGATTTAAAAACTTTCTAGCCAGCTGTGGTGGCACATGCCTATAATCTCAGCACTTGAGAGGTTGAGGCAGGAGGATTGCCATGAGTTCGAGGCCAGCCTGGGCTACATGGTGAGTTCAAGGTTGGCCTGAACTACCTAGTAAGACCCTGTCTCAAAAAGCAAACAAACAAAAAAACCAAAAAGAAAAACAAAAAAAACTTTTCAACTTTGCCTACTATTTTCCTAATAAGCATTTCTTGTCTTTTGATATACATAGGACATTGATGAAAAATAATATTAATTTTTTAAATTTAGGAATTTTTCAAGTTTTTAAAATATAGAGAATACTAATTATATTTTACTCTTTATAAATAATTATAAAATTTTAACAAGACTGAAGAATGCTTTATATTTCTATAAAAACATATTAGGTTATTAGTCTGTTTGGTCTATTGTAATGGAATATCACAGGCTGAGTAGCTTTGCCATCTGAGACTTAGTTTTCCTTCTGGAAACTAGAAATCCAAGATCAAGGTTCTGGAAACTTGGATTCTGGTGAGGTTTTTCTTCCTGGCTTGCAGACAGATGCCTTCTCACTATGTCCTGGAGGACACACCACAAGGTCTTTGGGGGGGGGGGTGTTTCTCATGTTTCTTCTAAGGGCACAAGTCCTATTGGTTTAGGGAACCACTCTTATGACCTCATTTTTAACCTTAAGTATCTCCTTAAAGCCCCTATCCAATACAGTTACACTGGGGGTAAGGGCTTTAACATATCAACTTGGAGGTAGGGAACACAATTTAGACCTTAACAGGTAGTCTGTACCTTGTTGCCTTAAAGCAGGAATTGCAAATATTATATTAAAAAGATGTATATTTTATTTTAGGTAGACCCACAACTTGTGGATGGACACCTTTCATATTTTCTTGGAGCTATAGGTATGCCTGGTTTGACTTCTTTGATTGGGATACAGGAAAAAGGTCATATAATTGCTGGATCTAATCAGACAATGGTTGTCAGTGGAGCAGCAGGGGCCTGTGGATCCTTAGCTGGGCAGGTAAATGCTGAGAATTATTTGATTTTTCTAAAAAATAGTCATTATGAATCTCTGGATACATGTACTATACATAATTTAAAGTATGAAATTAAAGAAATTTATATTATGATTATTTCGCACATTTCTGGTAGAAATGGTGTTATTACTTACTTGGTCTCAGGCCAGGGATTTAGCTCAGTGGTTTCACTGCCTGCTGTGCAAGTGCAAGGACCCGAGTTCGATCCCTGGTACCAAAAAAAAAAAGAGACTTACTTGGTCTGTGTTAATAACAATATGCAAGTGGATTCAGGCAGGGGAGGGAAAGGGTTAAAACCATATCACAAATTATATACATGTACCAACTCCTCACCATACATGTAATCATCATGTACTATAAACTTGTACTACCAAGAAAAATTTAACAATTAAAAACATCGGACTTGGGCCCTGGATTTAGCTCAGCGGTTCCGCTGCTTGCTCTGCAAGGTCCCGAGTTCGATCCCCAGTACCAAAAAAAAAAAAACTGGACTTGCAAGCTTAAATATCACATGGTCTATCTTATATGAGTAACTAAAAATAAAAATGATTTGAAGAGAAACATACAAAATACCTAGTAGAAAACAAAGAGAAAGTTCTTTTTCCAGAGTTGGGGTCAAGAGATGGATGGAGGGCGAAGGATGGAGAAGTGGATGAAAAAAGGTGAAGATGTGTTGTATGTATGTACCAACTTTCCACGATGAATGTGATTATTATATACTGTGAACATTTACTAATACAAATAAATAATAAAAAAGAAAAAAATAACAATATGAAGAATATAAATTTTTGTGCTTCATCCTCTATTAACCAAAAATAGATTTGGTAAATGCTGGAACACTGCTGTCATCCATGTAAGGATGAGAATAATAAAGACCTACCTGGAATTCCAATTAAGTAAAAAAACAAGTAGCTGAGAGTGTAGCTAAGAATACAGCCTGTGCAAGCATGTATCAGTCCCAGGTTTCAATGGTCAGTACCCCCCACCCCATCACAAACTCTTATTTATTTATTTGGGGTTTTTTGAGACAGGGTCTCACTATGTAGTTCAGGCTGGTCTTGAATTCACTATATAGCCCAGGCTGACCTTGAACTTGTGGTGATCCTCTAGCCTCAGCCTCCTGAGTGCTAGGATTACAGGAATGCACCACCATGCACGGCATAAACTCATGTTTTAAATATCCTCAAGTAAGAAAGCTTTTTTTTTTTTTTGGTACCAGGGATTGAACTCAGGTCCTTGTGCTTTCGAGGCAGGCGGCAGAACCACTGAACTAAATCCCCGGCCCCAAGAAAGCATTTTTTGACAGGGATGGTGGTGCACACCTATAACCCCCAAGCACTCTGGGAGGCTGAGGTAGATGGATTCTAATTCAAGTCCAGCCTGGGCAATTTAGCAACTTGGTGAGATCTGCCTCAAAATAAAAAATAAACAAAGGGCTGAGGATGTAACTCTGCTAGGGCAGTGGGTTCAATTTTTAGTACTTCTTTAAAAAATGCATTTATTGAATTTTAGAAATGTAATTTTTTTTTTTTGGTACCAGGGATTGAACTCGGGTCCTTGCACTTGTGAGGCAGGCGGTGGAACCACTGAACTAAATCCCCCGCCCTGTAGTAATATTTTCATAGAACTTTACAAAGTGGATTATTTTATGAATAATAGCCTCAATAGTGTAGAAAGCAAAATTTTATTGAAGCAAAATTCTATTGAAGCAAAATTTTATTTTGATCCACATAGACCTAAAAAATATTGAACTGTAAGATAGTGATGTTTGGGGTCTGATTATTCCTCTTGTAAAATCAGATTTAAATCATGAATTTTTTAATGAGTCTAGTTTTATTCAGTTTTAAGTTTCTTAATGATGACAGTCTGCCCTCGTATCTCTGTTTCAAATTTCTTTTAGCTAAAGCAGTGAACACTCCAACTACTTGTAATATCTTGTATATCTGCACACTTCTATATTTAAAAGTGACAATATAAACTATTTAAATATTTTTCCTTGTAGATTGGCCATTTGCTGGGCTGTTCCAGAGTGGTGGGAATATGTGGAACACATGAGAAGTGCCTCTTTTTGACTTCAGAACTGGGCTTTGATGGTGCAATTAATTATAAAAAAGGGAATGTGGCAGAAAAACTCCAAGAATCATGCCCAGCTGGAATAGACGTTTACTTTGACAATGTTGGCGGTGACATCAGTGATACAGTGATAAGTCAGGTTGTTTGCTGACTTGTTAAAGATTTGAATACATCATTTTATTTGTTTGGATATCTTTTTATCTGATACTGAAGGGGAAGACACTTTATAAAACTGTAGGATTTACTGTACTTATTGTCCTTTTTTTTTTTTTTTGGTACTGGGGATCAAACTCGGGACCTTGTGCTTGCAAGGCAGAAGGTGGAACGACAGAGCTAAATCCCCGGCCCTACTGTACTTATTGTTGTATTTAAATGATACAAAAGAACTTGCTGATACCTACTTTCATTTGCTCACAGACTTGTACTGTGAACTTCAGTATCAGTTCTTACCTAGCAATACATTTTTTTCATCTTCAATTTATTTTTTGTGAAGAATTACACTGCAGTGGCTGTAATCCTTCAGGAGCACGAGTAACTCAATGAGTTTCTGTCTCAAAGAAGTCTGAGGAATGTAGCCAGTGGCATGTGTGAGACTCTTGCTTCAATCCCTACTACTGAAAAAGAAATTTTTAAAATACTGAAGTTCTGACCCCTAACTCACTATCTACCAACTCACAGCGCTGGGCCTGGGATTTAGCTCAGTGGTTCCTCTGCCTGCCTCGAAAGTGCAAGGACCCGAGTTTGATTCCCCGGTACCAAAAAAAAAAAAAAAATCAACCACCTCACAGTCATGGTCCCTTACTTTGGGTAGGGAATGGATCTTCATACAATATGGGTATTTATGTATTTTTATTAATAATGTTATAAAATATCAACCATGAGCTATTAACTATATATTCCTTTCCTGTATGTAAGATTATCTGCAGTTGAGGTTTTATTATTTAAATCCATTGCCAGGCATTGTGGCACATCCCTGTAATCCCAGAATTTGGGAGGCTGAGGCAGGAGGATTACTAGGAGTTCCAGCCCAGCCTGGGTTACATAGTGAGTTCAAGGCCAGTCTCAACTATAGTGAAACCCTTTCAAAACAACCTAAATAAATAATCAAAGAAATATACCACCAATAAAAATAACAATGACAACTAATGTATTTCTTTTGTTAAGTACTAAACTTCTCATTTGCCTTTATAGTCCTTTAAAACAGACATATTTCTAGCTAATTAAAACTTATACACATAAGGGCCGGGGATTTAGCTCAGTGGTTTCACCGCCTGCTGCGCAAGTGCAAAGACCTGAGTTCGATCCCAGTACCAAAAAAACAAAAAAACCCCCCAAAAAACCTTATACACATATGATGGGTAAATCTTCAAAACAAACTGTTAATTGGCAATAAAGGATTAAATATGACAGTCAAGGAGTCTGTCGTTGAGACAACCATAAAATCAGTAAACAGGAAAGGCATCTATCTTAAGAGTGTAATCCTCAGTTTTTCTCTGCACAGATGAATCAGAACAGCCACATCATCCTGTGTGGTCAGATTTCTCAGTACAATAAGGATGTGCCTTATCCTCCCCCGCTCCTGCCTGCTATAGAGGCAGTCCTGAAGGAAAGAAACATCACAAGGTTAGTTCCTTCTCTGCCCTTATCACCAGATCCCAGGGGCTTACATATATGGAAGGTATTGTTCTTTACATATTTTCCTTAATAAGTAAAACTTGAAAGTATATAATTTTTATGCTGGTTCAATGTTTAGGTTTTGACTAACTAGCTCCCTGACAAAGATACGTACTGGATTTGACTGGATTGGGTCAGATCAGGAGAGGGTGGAGGAAGGATGTTATTTGCAAAGGGAAAAATATTACAGTATAGTACTATAGTCAAATGGGGTTATGGACACTGGGCAGACAAACAGAAGTCTGTTATACTTAACATTTGTCATGATACCTAAAACTATATCTGACCGGACTGTTATTAAATCCTAATATCTGAAGGATTTTTAAGATTAACACATACTAGAAATCTTAAATGATTGATCTTGGACTCTCCTGTCACATTCTCTGATCATTGTCCTTTTCTTCTCACTGCAGGGAGAGATTTCTGGTGTTAAATTATAAGGATAAATTTGAGCCTGGCATTATACAGCTGAGTCAGTGGTTTAAAGAAGGAAAGCTAAAGGTAGTATCTTTTTTTTCTGCCCCCCGCACTGGTGAGGAAGGAACCCAAGGCATCACGCATACTATGCCAGGATTCTACCACTGAGCTACAGCCTCAGTCTTAGAACTTACTTCTGTTCTTTCTCATTGTAATTCTTCTTATTACTCAGTGTACTTTTGTATTATATTAACTTATGATAGTAAACATTTGTTTCATTATAAAGATTTTTCTACAAAAGAAAGATGTACTGAGTACATAAATTAATTATTGATCTGTGATCCAGAGACCTAGACCTTGGATGCCGTCAAAACCTACAAGTGAGGGCAGGGGATTTAGCTCAGTGGTGCCCCCACCTGCCTTGCAAGCGCAAGGTCCTGAATTCAATCCCTGGCACCAAAAAAAAACAAAAACAAAAAAACAAAACACCTGCAAGTGGTAGTTTTTGTGTATGTGTTTATGTAAAAAAAAAAAAAAAGCGTATCACTTTTGATCTGTTACTTATGGAAGATTAGACAACGGGAATTTTAGGGTTTTATTGAAAAAATGGAAGTTTAAGACATTTTATTAGTACATGTTTGGAGTACATGCAGTTTACAATCACCTTGGGGAATCGTGGAACTCTTGAAATATATAGAACATCTGTTCTTAGGTGTAAGGTTCTAATTAGTATTTCTGTCTTTTGCATAAATGGAAACCATTAAACACTGAATTTTAAATACTAAATTTAGCTATTTTGACTTACAGATCAAAGAGACTGTGATAAATGGATTGGAAAACATGGGAGGTAAGATGAATGCAGATTTGTTATATATATATATGCTTAGCGCAAATATTCTTTTTAAATACAACCTCTCAAGTGTTTTCTATCTCTCTGTGTGTATGTCCATGTATATGTATGTGTGTTTGCTAGGGATTGAACTGAGGGCCTGGAGCATGCTTTGCCACTGAGCTACATTCTTACCCATTTTTTTCTCTGTAGCAGTTCTGGGGATCAATGCTTTCTAAATATTTTATGTGGGTTTTTGTTTTTGTTTTTGTGTGTGCATGGTGGGGGGGGTTACAACCCAGAGGCTTATGCATACTAGGCAAGCACTCTACCACTGAGCTACACCCTTTTTTATTTTGTTTTGAGATGGTCTCACTGAAGTGCCCAGGCTGGCCTCAAACTTGAGATCCTCTTGCTTCAGCTCCCCAAGTGTTTCTTCTCTGTAAAACTGTACTGCAGGTTTCCTTAAATATAGTCAAATTCCATTAGAGTTCAACTTTGTGCTATTTGAGAGGTATTGTTTTCACATTTCAAACTGTAAAATGTTTCTTTGGTTTTTCAAATAGCTTATAAAAACATGTAAGGATTCAGAAAGTTATTTAGGGTCCGGGTAACTTTTTCAGATTAAATGTTTGTGAACCATCATAAGATTAAGCAAATTTTCAATATTTAACGTTTTTTGCTTAACACAGACTTAGACTTTATCTTTTGTCATTTCCAGTTTAGATAAGTTAATTTTTTAAAATGTTAATTGGATTAGTTTGTAAATTTGTTTTACATGAGGTTTCTTGTCATGACAGTTTCCTATTATACTCAGTATTAAAATCATTGAACAGCCAGGCATAGTGATGCACATCTGTAAACCCCAGCACTCAAGGGGGTGAGGCAGGAGGATTGCCATGAGTTCAAGGCCAGCCTGGGTTACATAGTGGGATCCTGCCTCAAAAAAACAAAACAAAACAAAATCATTGAAGACATTATTCAAAGTAATTTTATGTGTTTGAACACCTGGTAAACAAGTGTGATGGTGTTTTTAGCTTTTTAGATAACCTATTTTATTTTCCTTTCCAGCTGCATTCCAATCCATGATGACAGGAGGTAACATCGGAAAGCAGATAGTTTGCGTTTCAGAAATTTCTCTGTAATCTCTGTTGACTTCTTCATCAAAGAAATCACATATTTTTTTTCCATTTTACACAAAACATTGAAGATTTTTTTAAAAACCTAAGAGTACAGAGTCAGGCGTGGTGGCACACACCTGTAATCTCAGCACTTGGGAGGCTGAGACAAGAGGATTGCCATGAGTTCAAGGCCAGCCTGGGCTACATAGTGAGTTCAAGGGTTGTCTGAACTATATAGTGAGACTCTATCTCAAAAAACCAACTAACCAACCAACAAACCAAATAAAAACCTGTAAGACTACAGATAGCTCGACTTAAATGTGATCATATGTGATTTTTTTCTTCTTTTCTTTAATCTTTTCTATATCTTCCAGTATTATATGCATTCTACATTTAACACATGATTACTTACAATAATAGATTGAAGCCAACATGATCTATTTTTCTATTTTTGTTAAAATATTACAGACATTTGTATCAGAGATTCTGAAACCACTGGAGATTTGGTACAACTGTTAATGGTTCATACACAATAGATTTTTTTAATGGAATAACATTTATTTAATATGGAATAAATATTCTGTTAATTCTGTTAGAAGTGAGGAGGCACTTAGTAAACATTTGTTGAACTAGAAATGTATTACATGATTCTTTTTTTTTTTTTGGTACAGGGGATCGAACTCGGGTCCTTGCGCTTGTGAGACAGGCAGCGGAACCACTGAGCTCAATCCCAGGCCCGATTCTTAAACTAAACATTGGTATAAGAATAGAATTGGATGGCCATTCTGCATTGTAGATGGAAAAGAGACGTAGAGGCATGCTATGGCCAGGCGTGATGGAACAAGCCTATAATCTCAACTACTCAGTAGGCTAAGGCAGGAGAATTCCAAATTTGAGGCCAGCCTCTGGAGTTTAGCAAGACCCTGTCTCAAAAAAAGAACTGAGGATGTATCTTAGTGGTAGAATGATTGTCTAGCATGTACAAGGCCCTGCTTCAACCCTGAATACCAAATACACACACAAAGGTATAGTATGTTCACAGGGGCTGGAGACAGAGTTGGGGGGCTTCAGACTTGTGGAACAAGTTTTGGGATAGAGCAGAGGCTTTGGCTTGGGAATGATATGAGAAAATAAATAACTGGGATCAGTTGAGAGAGACCATGAGACTACATTTATATCCAGAAGATGATCTATTTGTGCTTTGTTAAGTAATTTACTGCACAACTTAAAAATGCAATATATATTGATAAAAGCATATCTTTATTTTAGGTTAGTAAGCACATTGTCAATTAGCTGTAAAGATGAGAGAGAGGTCAAGTAGATATAAACATCACTTGGAATTTCAGGTAATTAAAGACAAAGGGGGCTAATGGTGTAGCTCTGGGGCAGAACACTGCTTAGCATAACACTGTCCCTAGTTTCAATCCTCAACAGCAAAATAACAAAAACAAAAACAGTTTCAGAAAATGACAGGACTGGTTGGCAAATTAACCAATGGTTGTAAACAGGAATATTGAAGGCCCACTGATAGACCTCAAGTAAGTTTTATTCAATTAATTATAATCAGCCTTTTAAACAATAAGATTGAAGATATTTTGTGGTCACTCCTCCGTGCAAGCCTGAGCGTGTTTTTGGGTATTGAGCCCAGGTGCTTCCCATTGAGCTATATCCCCAGCCCTTTTTTACTTTCTGAGACTCAGTCTTACTAAGTCGATAAATTGCCCAGACTGAGCTCACTGTGTGTTTGACAGACAGGGTTTCTCTATGTAGTTTAGGCTGGCCTTAAGCTCACTGTGTAGCCCAGGCTGGTCTTGAACTCAAGGCGATCCTCCTGCCTCAGTCTCCCAAGTGCTGGGATTACAGGCATGTGCCACCAACGGGGCTCCTTCTGCTCAAACTTGATACTTTTCCTCCCAGAGTGCAGGAGTTACAAATGTGCCACTATGGCCCCTACCCTCATATCGGGGACTGAACCCAGAGCCTGGCTCATAGCAAGCCTCCTACAAGAGCTGTATTCCAAGTGGTGAATGTACTTTTGCGTGCAACATTTGTTAACAAGTAGATTCAAATGCTGTTGGTAATCACTCCGGTTTATTTCAGTGGCCTGTTTTTTGTACTTTCCCAGACTATTTCCTTTCCTGAAGGCTAGAGGTTTCAAGTCTTCTCTGTATGTTGATTAACTCCCAAATCTACAACTCCATTAATTGAGCTCTAGATATCCCGTGAGGACTTCAAACTCTGCTTTATCTAAAGAACTAGTTTCCCTTGAAAAGTTATTTATGCACCCAAACTACTCCCTCACCCATGTATACACTTGGGTTATCTTGAACCTTGACGGTGTCTTTTTAAGAACTTTCATCCCCACCGTCATTATTGTAGTTGACTGCCTTATTCTTTAGTACTGCAAGTATTTTAAAAATTCGTATTTTTCAAGAAGTCAAACACCTAAAATTAAGTGGTGGCACGCAGCCTGAAACTCAAGTGTTCCAGCCCACAGTCATAACATCCAAGAGCCCTTCACGTAATAATATTCGGGAACCAGACCGCAGGGAATTCATAAACCAGAACAGTTCTACAGGTGACTGGATCCATACTCTGTCCCATATGCAATACAGAACTTGATTCTGCAATTTCCCTTCCCGGGCAGTAGAGGTTTGATAATTGTTTAAGTGGCGATCTTGTTTTTCTCCTTTGCCTCCCCGTATCTCCGCCGCCGAATGGGAAACTACCCTATCTGCTGCTGAGGGGAGGCAGTGACGTCACGGCTAGAAGGCACTGACCTGGTTTTCTGGCTTCGCGGACCTGGAGCCCCGAAGGCCAGGGAGAATGAATAGGAGGCAATGGCCAGACGTCCCACATCTGGGGCCGGGCCCATGCAGCGGGCAGAGCTGGCCGAGCCGGCGGTCCTCAGGCCGGGACCTCCGGTGGGGCGGCAGGGGCAGCGAGCGAGTGGGTGTGTGCGTGGGGGTGAGGCCAAACTTCCTGTCCCGCGTTCGAGCTGTTTCCGGCGGGAGCCGGAAGACGCTATGTGTGGACGGAATTCGGGACCGACTGACGGCCGGCCAGCACCCCGGGTCTGGAAGGTGAGCTCCTGGGTGGGGCTGGCCACACCCGCTCGCCGGGGTGGTCTCGGAGGAAAGAGGAGCTACTACCGACTTCGAGGGGTCTGGGGGCCGACCCAGCCCCTGGGGAGGACAGAGAAACCGCCCCCCTAGGGGACCCTCCGACTCGGGCGGGCCTGGGAGCGGCCGGTCTTCAGCCCTGCGGCTTCGGCCCTCCCCTGGCAGAATTTTGAGGGAGATGTTTTGGATCCTTCACTCGGTTTTAGGGGCGAAGGTGTGTGAACGAGACAGTCCCGAGAAAGCCAGAGTTAGCGAGTCCCCGGGACCGGCGCCCCCGGACGGCACCCGCAGCCGGGCCTCCCCGCGGACCTTGGGGCCTTACTCTTAAGGCCTTTGTCGTGGGGGAAGGGAAGCTAACGGGACCTCGCCCAGAACGATTTTAGCCAAGAACTGCACTCTCCTTTCCGACGTCCACTTACTTTCTGGTTTTAGAATAGGGACCAGGCTGCCCAAGCGGAGGGATTGGGCCACCGGTTTCTCCTTCGTCTGTCAGTTCGGGCGGGCTTGTGGGCTGTCAGTGTTCCCAGCTGGTAATATATTTTGTCGGCTAAACTTACCCTCTGACGTTTCTCAAGGGAATCCAATTAGTTTTTTAAAGTTTATTCCACTTGCTGGTGAGGCTCTGAGATGCATTTAGGCACCATTTGAAAGTTAAATATTATTAACTTGGGGATTAAGAATTCGCAGTTAACCTCATTTTGGCTCAAGGGTCAACGTAGCATATTTGCAAAAAGGATGAACGAAACATTTTGAAAGTTAGGGGAATCGGGGGGGGGTTAGATAGTGAGAAGTCCCACTTTGTGTTATCTGAATGAGGGTAGAATAAAGCACAACAAAACTAGTAGTGTTGAATTCTAGTTTAAGCGTTACATCCACGTAGATGTCAAAATTTTGCTAAATTATTCTGTACCTTTAGGGGATTTTCTGTGTAAATGAAGAAATTTACCTTTGGAGCTTTGACAGTTATTCCAAGGCACCGGTGTGTGTGTGGGTGATATAAGCAATAGATGGATTAGAAAGGGAAATTTTAAAGGCCGGGTGACTGGTTAGAAACTTTTAAAAATAGTGTAGCTGAAAGTAAGAGACCTAAACAAGGAATAAATTTTGAGGGAACTCAGAATCACTGAGATTTAAATATGAGAGATTTATAAAGACCTAGAATTTGCAGTTGAGTGGGAAGATTGGGCAATAATTGAAATGGGTAATACAAGAAGAACAGGTTTGGTGGAGGAGATGATAATCTAGATTTTGTACATTGTTAGGATCGAAGTGCTGTGGGATATATTTGTGGAGAAACTCAACAAGAAGCGAGAAATGAAGGTTTAGGGTTCAGAAGAGAAATTGGAACTAGAGACAAAAATTTAGTATTGTTGAACAGGGCGTGGTGGCACACACCTGTAAGCCCAGCACTCAGAAAAATGAGGCAGGAGGATCCAGTGTGAGGCCAGCCTAGGCTACACAGCAAGACCTTGTCTCAAAACAAAACAAAACAAAACCCAAAAAGCAGTGTCATTCATTCGCTGTAGAAATATTTATTCAGTGCTCTGTGCTTACAGGGAAGCTTTTTATGGAAACCCTTTAAACTCTGGAAGGCTTTTTTTTTTTTTTTTGGTACTGGGGATCGAACTCGGGTCCTTGTGCTTGCGCAGCGGGCAGGGAAACCACTGAGCTAAAAAAAAACCCTTTAAACTCATAGTAAAGACAACTTTAAAAGTAGGTAATAACTTCAGGATTTCCTTTTGGGGTGATGAAAATGTAAAATTAGTTTGGTTATGGTTGTGTTGCACACCTGTGAATACACTAAAGACAATTTACTCTTTAAAACAAATGAATTGTATGTAATGTGAACTCTTATTTAAAAAAACATTTTTATTGCAGTTTTTGAAATTGGTCAAATGGGCAGTGGAATTAGGAAGAGGAACAAATTTAACTGCATATTTGCTGTTATACTACTGGGCTAATTAATGTACTTAGCAAGTTCTTTGTTGAGGTCCACACACTACACTTGATAACGTGCTTTTCTGTAGATTCATTTGAGTTCAGCTGCCTTTCTAGTGCATCGTGTTCTGTTTTCTTCATACAGTATAATCATACATAAAAACCATAAATGTGGGTGCCAATTATATGGCAGTACTCAGTTATGATATAGACACTCAGTTGTTCCAGAAAATCCTTGTTAATTTTTAGAGATTATTAGTAAAATGCAAACACTATAATAAAAAGATGTCAAAAAAAAAAGATGTCATAGATAACATGAAGGTCAGTAAATAATTGTCTGGTTTTTAGAGATTTTTGCAATCCTAGAATCTCAAAGTTGGAAGAGCTTTATGGATAACTAAACAAACATTTGATAATTTCCTGGCTGGTTGAGGTGAGCTGAAACTGGAGAAAAGGATTTTTTTCCTAGTACTTGGGATTGGACCCAGGGCCTTTGCACCAAGCTACACCCCCAGTCTTTTTTTTATTTTTTATTTTGAGACAAGGTCTCACTTAAGTTGCTGAATTACCCTAGCTGGGCTCAAATTTGAAATCCTCCTGCATCAGCCACCCACTGTGCCAAGATTACATCATGTACCACTAGGGCCGGGGATTTAGCTCAGTGGTTTTGCCGCTTGCCTCACAAGTGCAAGGACCGGAGTTCGATCCCCGGTGCCAAAACATCATGTACCACCACACCTAGACACCTAGCTGAGCAAAGGAGTTCTTTTTTTTTTTTTTTTTTTGTGCAGGGGATCAAACTCAGGACTTGAGCTTGTGAGGCAAGTGAGGAGTTAAGACTCAGAAATTCAAGATCAAATTTAGAGAAATGTGATTACTATTCATAGAGTCCTGACTCTAGGTTAGTAACTTGGGCAAGTGATTTATTGAGCCCTGGTTTCTTCCTCTCTAAAAAGATGACTGGATAGACCACATTAAGCTAGTGTAGTGGTTGGGTAAAAAAACATATATGTGGAAAGAAAATGTGGGGATTTGTGACACTTTAGTTTACATAGGAAAATTTAAAAGGATTATTTTCATTTATATCAGTGTAGAAACCTCTATTCTGGGTATATACTTTATGATTACTTTATTTTTTTGTTTGTTTGGGTTTTTTTGGTACTGGGGATCAAACTCAGGTCCTTGTGCCTGTGCAGCAGGCGGTGAAACCACTGAGCTAAATCCCTGGCCCTGTACTTTATGATTACTTTATAAGAACACTCCTACTTTTAGAAACAATTAAAACAACTTAAATGAACTCTTATACCAAAATCCTAAGGGGAAATAATTAAGTTACAAGAAAGTAAGAATTTTAGGCTAGGGGAGTAGCTTAGCGGTAGAGTAAGTGCTTAGCATGCTTAAGGGCCCAGGTTCAATCTTTAGCCCACACATATAAAAAAGTAAGAATTTAAATTATGGAGGTGGGAGGGACAGCTGCATCAGGGTTCTGAGAGTGTACTGCCTTTGGGAGTCACTGTTCAAATTTTGCCTTTTTATTTTTTCAGGTGGTGGATATTAAACCCAGAGCTTCTTACATGCTACCACTGAGCTATACACCTCCAGCTTTGATTTTTTGGGTTTTCTTTTTTTTTGTTTTTGAGACAAGGTCTCGCTATGTAGTTCAGGCTGGCCTTGAACTCACTGTGTTGACCAGGCTGGCCTCAAACTCACAGTGATCCTCCTGCTTCAGCTTCCCGAGTGCTGGGATTATAGGCATGTGCCACCATGTCTAGTTTATCGTTCATTTAAAAGAAAATTGTTTTGGGCTGGGGATGTAGCTCAGTGGCACCGGGCCTGCCTCGAAAGTGCAAGGTCCTGAGTTTGATCCCCAGTACCAAAAAAGAAATTGCTTTGTTTTTGGGGTGCTAAGTATTGAACCTAGTGCCTTCACACTGAGATATACCCCAACCCTTTTTAAAATTTTTATTTTGAGACACGGTCTCAGTAAGTCACTAAATTGCCCAGGCTGGGCTCAAACATGGAATCCTTCTCCCTCACCCTCCCAGAGTTCCTACAGGTGTAGGCCACCATGCCCCATCCAGCTTTGACTTTTTAAATGTAATTTTTTTCAATTATAAAAACAATATAATTATAATTTAGAAAACTTGGGAAGCCAAGGAAAGAAGTCATACCAGCCTGTCATATAATATAGCTACTATCATAGCTGTGTAAATTTTCTTTTACTTTTTCCTATATATATCATAACTACTTTTTAAAATAACAGATATATAACTTTTTATTTTATTTTATTTTTTGTGAGACAAAGTCTTGCTTTGTAGTTCAGGCTGGCCTCAAAGTCACAGCAGTCCTGTGTCAGTCTCCCAAATGCCTTGAGTGCTGGGATTATAGGCATATGTCACCCTAGCTCTGTATTTTATTTTTGTAATTAATATGTCATGACCATTTTTCTTTGTTGTTACATTGTCTTTATAACCATATTTTAAAGTGACCGCCATATTTAATCCACCACTCCCTAATTGGTGGATACGTAAGTGTGTTTATACGTTGCTTCTACTTTTTGTCACATTCATGATAAATATATGTGGGCATGTAACTTTTCCCATATTTAAGACCTTTCCTTAGACTAGATTTTAGAAGTAGAAATTCTGTATCAAGACATAACAGTTTTATGGGTTTTGATATATTTTTTTGAGACAGGGTAGTGTCTCACTGTGTCGTTCAGGCTGGTCTTGAATTCACTATGTAGCCCAGGCTGGTCTTGAACTTGGGGGGATCCTCCTGTCTCAGCCTCCTGAATGCTGGGATTACAGGTGTGTGCCACCACACCCAGCTCAGGATATGTTCTATTTTAAAACAAATGTTTTTGGTGCTGGGGATTTAGCGCAGTGGTGCCCAAGC